CGATCTCTCTAATCGATCGACACGCGAAGCTTTCTACATTGCCACCAACCGTGCGAAGGAGTGTGGAAGTCATCGAGTGTGGCAAACGTGGCTCTCTCCTAAACATTCCTCAGGAAGGGCTCTCTTCAATCCAAGGAAGGGATCATTCGTGTCATCGTCGCGGTACGCGCCAATCAACCGTGCATCAATGACCAACGGGAAGCGGAAAGGGAAGACGGTACATGGGGGCATGGCGAGGGGGTGGGTTAATCGGGAGCGGGGGTAGGAAATTCTCCATTCCCGCTACTGTCACCAGAAGCTCTTGATATCGATGATCCGCTGGAAGTGAGGGAATCGATTACCACTATGAGGAAGGGATGCGAGATAGTCGGGGTAGAGGGTGGTGAAAGTTCCGAAGAGTGTCGTGCGGAAGTGATCGTGGTTTTCGCATGCGGGGATAGTCCCCGTGATCATGCAGTAAACCTCGATGATGTTGTGACCTCGCCACGTGGCACTAAAGAGAAGGGCGTGGAGGCAGAAGACAGGGGTGGCACACCGGGTAGAGGGAACGGGATGAACCGTGACAGCACGACGGGTGGCGTAGAAAAAACGGAAGGTGTCGATTGGGAAGGGATTGCGGGGGAAGGTGATGCGGGTGGTGATCTGGCGGAGGGTGAGGTGGTCAAGGGGACGACGGGATAAGGACTGGGGACGAAGCCCGATGCCCCGCATCGGTACGAGCTCGAACTGGTGGACAGGCGGAGGTGGAGGGGGAGGGGGATTGGCTTCGTCGACGTCGGGCTGGTGCGCTCGAAGTCTCGGCAGCAAAGTCCCCATCCTCCGGCTTGGGTGGCTCCGGATCCTTAGTTGGGTCGTCTGAGATCTACAAATCTGCCCCACTTGCATATTCCAGCGGCTGCTTGCCGGCCGCGATTTCTTCTCTGCGTCGCGCTGCCGCCTCTGGTCTTCCTCCTAGGTTTCTGTGCGGCCCGCCTCCTCTTCCAAGCTTTCACACTCAGACTCCTCTTGCTCTTCGTCCTCTTCCTCTTCTTCTTCGCTCTGCTCTCCCTCGCTGTGCTCGCTGTAACTTCCTTCTTCCGGGGTTTCCTATTCTTCCTCCTCGTCGCCTTCCTCTACGTCCTCTTCTTCTTCCTCCTCTTCTTCTTCTTCTTCGGAGGCCGTTTGAGGCTGGAAGAAGGCGACGTCGATTATCCTCCGCGGGTCCAGGTATTCTCGCTGCGATGGCGGATTGTTGTCACTTCCCTGCTCCTCAAGGCAGGCCGACCACTATAGGTAAGGCGGCAGAGTTCGTGAAAGGACGTGCGGGACCGGACTTTCGTCACACTGCGAAATGATATCGAGAGGAAGATCGTCGACCAGCTGCGCGAGGGGAATCGTGAGTTCCTGTACGATCAGTTGTCGATGGTCGGGCCTCACCGATCCGGATAGAAATCCGAGGAGGTCTCCTTCCACCTCCGTCCTCCAAGCTTGGATGATCAGCAGCTCCACGTATTCGGTCCAAGCATGCTGTTCTATGTCCCTCGTCCACGTCAGCTGCACCCCGACCAAACACACCGAAAGATCGACGAAGTGTTCCCACCACAGTTCCCACTGTCTTCGATCGAGGAGGGGAACAGCGAGTGGTTCCAGACGGAAGGAGAGGCGGGGACAGAGTCTAGATTGCCACAAGGTAGGGAAGAGAGATGGGAGAGCGAAGGTAGAGAGCTGGGAGCAGTTCATTGGGGGCGGTGGAAAGGGACGAGCTCAAGAAGCACCACCGCCGGCTAGTGCCGAGACGTTCGGAGCCCCCCGACGTCGATACTGTCCGTGGGGACAAGATTGTCGCCGTGGCGCGTAAGCCACTGATTCCACTCTGCTGCCAGCTGCTGGCCCCACTCCCTTAGCGACGTCCGGATGACCGTGTGTCGTAGAGCGTTGATCGCGCTAATATCGCCACTGAAGATGACGACGGTAGACACGTGGCTAACTCCCGGTACTGACAGCCGTCGAACAGCCAACGCCTCTGCCAACACGATCGCTTGACGATGGCCCGTGAATCGGAACTCCGCCGCCACGTACACCCCGGTTGTTGCATACTGTAACGGTGCAGACCAGAACAAGAACCGACCTCTCAATACAAAGTACAAGATAGCACAGCGGAAGACTTAGATACCAGTGATCCGAACAATCAATATTGCAATGCAGCCCTGAACATACATCATCATCATCGTTACATGGTGTGAATGGGGTCTAGCGCTTCACACAGGAAGACTGCGCCAGCCCCTACCATACACAGACGAAGAAGAAGGGGGTTAGACGAAGAGGAGGGGAAGATGGGAATGTCGTCAATACCAAGTCTTCGGCACAGGCCCAAATAGTCCCTCGTCGAAATGTCTAAATCCCAAATGTCAAGTCTGGATCCAATGTCGTCAAGTCTCAAGTCACAACTCT